TTAAAACAAAATTCAGCTAAAATGTCAATGGAATCATTAAGAGATTGAATCCTTCTTTTGATTGAGAACAAACTCGCAAGCCGGTGAAGATCTGGCTTCAACAGGACTACATCAAATATGGTTTAGGCCCTCACCACTAAATGGAGAAGCTAGAATAGGAAGCTTGGTTCTCGGATGTTCCTCCATATTCTTCTCTTTTCTCCCTTGAATCCTCTAAAAACTGGTGTTCTCTTTTCCATTTCCATGTTCCTCAAGGGGGCCGAAAGTTCCCGAGAAATCTGAGGATCTTATATCATTGAAGTTGACAAAGTTGGTGCAAGTTGCAGAACTGCCTGGTGACTTTATTCTGCTTTGGCGCTGATACAGGGTCATTGAAGTGCTGCGATAATTCTCAGTTCTGTAGTGCTGAAGATAATACTTGTTTCTTGCTAGTTTCTTCCAATGCCACAGCAGCTAATCTTGTAGCTCCACGGCAGTGTGCTCTTCTGCTTCTACTCTTCTTTTTCACTCAATCTTGCTACCTTTCTTCTTTCCTCCATAATTAATATTATTGAGTAATGATTATCACAAACATTAGAAACCTAACTTTGATTGAGCATATCTTGGCACAATAATATCAATACGATTTCATCCTATCCTGACACAAACCAGGAGTTTTAGACATTGCATTCATGAAGTTACTTGTGTCATTTAATGTGGAAATTGTACTTCTGACCCATGTTTTTTAAATGGTGTATTTGCAAAGCAAATTAGTACACTAGCTGGCAATCAAATCCCGAGTTATTTTGTGTGGGAAGTTATTTTCACAATGGCTATCATCGGAATGGGACTCCTACTTTTTGCCCTCCTGATTGGAAATATGCAAAACTTTTTGCAGTCTCTAGATCGCAGGTAATTTTTTATTTTTACTATGCTAACTGAACTAGTTCAGTATTTGTGTATGCCAAGGAGGCCTATTTTTAAAGTAACATACTTGATGCTTGTGGATAATCATGATTGTTATGCTATTTTTAGTCTATTCAGGGACCGCTAACAGTTAACTGAAGAGATTTATTGTGTGGGAGAGTTACTATAATATTCTGCAAACAAGAGTTATACATAAGTATCTTGTAACTATTTCTCTCAACTGAACATGAAGCCATTGCCTCTTCTCAAGAAAAAGATTAGTTATGTGTAGGAAATTTGAAAAGTGAAATACCACCTGGAGGAATATTTTTGTATGACAAAACTATTTGGTCGAGTAGAAATTTTGGGACATTGTTAACCAGTCTTATTGTATAACATGATAAATGTTCTCTTACTTGGATGTAATTGTTCGATTCTTATTATCTCTTTGCGTTGATTGTGCACCACCTTTTGTGCAACTGTCGATAAGTATTATGTTTTCTCTGCAGGAGGTTAGAAATGTCTCTGAGACGTCGTGACGTTGAACAATGGATGAGCCATAGGCGCTTGCCAGAAGAACTGAGAAGGTAGCCTTTAATGCTCTTTTTCCTTGACATCTAACTCTAGACTCTGCAGTTTTTCTTCTCCTTAATATACTGGTATAGAGTGAGGGTATCCCTGGATTGAGTGCACACCTGATCTGCTATTCATCATCATATCTCGCATGTAACTCTGGACCCCAGTTGAAGCTTGAAATTTTTGCTAGATGGAACTGTGTTTCTCGACTTTGCATTCCACAGACTAGGATATCACAGTTTAGGAATTATTAAGATTCTATTTATATTTAGCTCAATGTGGCCTTAAGTCCTGTATGTTTAGTTATGTGGGATGCAAGTACAGAGGAAGCTCAAATTAAGTATATTTCTGATTGATTGTTTGGATGCAAATTTTAGTTTTATGAGATGTTACCTGGTTATTAGTTGTCTATATTTAACCAAGTTTATAGTCCTGAATAGTCCTGACTAATTTTTAGTTGTATCCTTTGGCAGTCACTCTTGCAAGTGGGTACCTAAATATTCTCTATTATTTGTTTAATTTAATTAGAGTGATTTGAGAGTTGACATTTAAAGATCTTGATATCCTTGTGAGGGTTAAGGACTTAAAAATTCCTTCCCCAGTTTATTTTGAATTGCCCTTGCACACTTGTCTTGTTTTCCTTCGATTGTCCCGCATCATAAGTGTTACACACCCATTGGAGTTCTCTATAATGTTATGTAACTCCAACTGTAATGCTAGGGCGATATCCTAAATGGACCACAGTGAAACTTCCTTTATATTGTTCTAGAAATATGGACGAGTCTGTCATGGTATTTCTTTTATTCAGGCAAATTAAAGCACCAGTAGTTTGATCAATATTAATCCAAAATGATAAACTACCATGTGTCTTAGAAATGAGCTTTTAGTGAATCCATTCCCATTACTTGCTACAAGAAAACCTAAAAGCATGATCGTCTCCCCTGTAGGAGAGTTCGGGAGGCAGAGAGATATAATTGGGCAGCTACCAGAGGGGTCAATGAAGAAATGCTACTAGAGAATCTTCCTGAAGACCTTCTAAGAGATATACGGAGACATCTTTTTAACTTCATCAAAAAGGTGAATTCCAGCTGCATTATCATTTGGATCATTCATCTTCTCTTTATTCTGTTATTCGTCATGCTTTTCATAGACAAGCTCACTTGCAGTACATATATTGTGATTGGAACCATTGAGTTTAGCCAATCAAGGTCTGGATTCTGAAACATGTCATTTTTGTGTGAATTTTAGTTTAACCAGATTAATAGGAAAAAGGGGGCTTTCCTGGTTTGGGTTAGATTTAAGCTGTTTGCTTTTCTCAATGGCTCTTTATATTGAATGTATAATTTTTCATCATGACATCATATTATGTTATTGATTTTCAGGTTCGGATATTTGCACTTCTAGATGAACCCATCATAGATGCCATCTGTGAGAGGTTAAGACAGAAAACATACATAGCAGGAAGCAAAGTTTTATACCGTGGTGGTCTGGTTGACAAAATGGTTTTCATAATCCGGGGTAAGATGGAAAGTATTGGAGAAGATGGAAATGTGGCCTCCTTGTCTGAAGGGGATGCCTGCGGGGAAGAACTCCTCACATGGTGCCTTGAGCACTCTTCGATAAACAGAGGTGATTATAGATCTCTTGAAGATTGTCTTGTGAGTGCACCGTTGGCATATATGCATGATATAATGTTAGCTCTTTTTGTTTTTTGGTTATAAAATCGATTCATCAGCTTCGCTTGAACTCCACCATTTCTTGTTATCCAAATAGGTACTCTCCATATTATTCAAATTATCACTGTACGCTCCTTTGACTCAGCTACCTTTTCTCCTCTTGAGGCTCAGCTACCCCTTTTTCCCCCTCAAGGCGAATAAGGCGCAAAATTTGAAAAAGAAATATAAAAGATATGCTTGTCTATGCATGGATGAGTTAAACATGAAATAACCCCTACAAAGAGATGATGAATGGGGGAAAAGTGAAATGTACAAAAGGATGAAGGTATTATGTCAGGTAAATGCAGGCTAGACCTATGGAACAGGTCTGGAAGCTGTGATGAGTGAACTTAGTATCAAGGAAGTATTGACAGAATTCTTATCTATTGACAATTATGGCTGAAATATTGCATCTTTTTCCCAGTAGAAGATTAACCTCTCAAGGTATGAATGGAAGTGTGGACCTACTTTAAGTTCTAGCATCCAAATTACCATTTAGCTGCAGTCCTACTCAAATGTTAGATTGTAGTATGGGTGACCAAGCAAGAGGTTTTTCATTGATTCAAAGCTGGTAATTATCAAGACTGAAAAATATCCAGCTCTAATGTGTGCATTCAAAATCTAGAGCACCCTATTGGCCAACTGAATGCAGATTTTAGTGCCAAATTCAACATTTTTTCTGTGCTGAGTCAACCAACATTCTTAGCACAAGTGTTCATCTGTGAGTATTCTAGATCCATATGAAGCACTAAGTTAAACCAGTAACCGGGCTCTTTACCAGGAATTTGGAGTGATGATTGCACTAGAAACTTGTCATATTAAGTATTAGTTATGTGTAGTCCCACATTGGAATGGGAGTAATATGTACTTTGTAGACTATAGCTATAAACAGGACCTCTTGTATTATATTGAGTATCTAATATCTATAATATATTTTCTCCCCTGCTTTCTCACATTAAGTTTGCTGTTGCATGCAACAAGCCCTTATGAGAAGCTTGTTCTGTGCCCCAAGTCTTTAGTTCCATTTCTCTGTGCATGTGATAATCAATTACAGTCAAAATTTGGCTGCTGAAGAACTTGTGTCGTGCAGAACTTCTGCATATTTTCCTTCCTTGGTGAACAGTTCTTATTTTGATCTTATACTAGGACAAATGTGTAGAAAATTAAGGACAAATGTGTAGAAAATTCAAGTCTACAGCACACTAGGTATAATGCAAACTTCCCTGGATTAGTGTCTCTCTTGTCTTGTTCTTGATATGAAGCCGATATACAAACTAGAAAATCAAGTGGTTCCCCCCTTCTTTTCCATTTATCATTTGGTAGTGTAAAATCATAAATGGTTCACCAAGGCTAGCCCTCTTACAATATAGACTAAATAAACTGGGAATGTCAAAAGCTGGATTGTATTGAAAACTTTGGTGTTGAGAGATGGCCATTCAGTGATCATAAGGATGTCAGGGCCAATTAGAAGTTGGATTTGAATCTACATTTTGATGGTTTTCAGATAAATATTTGCTTTGAACTTTCAATCAGTCTAATCACAGAGGTGACTTCCCCGTTTAATGAAGTGTACACAACTTAGTGAAGATAATTGAAAACCATATGATTGGCAGTTAAAACTTTGGCTGCCTTTAGTCTTCCTGGTTATCAGATGGCTTATCTAAAACTTCGATAAGCTCTGAATGATTTTCCGATTTAGGAAGAGATGAAGTTCTGAGTGTGAAATACATATTGTGATGAATATTTCCTAACATCGCTTTTCCTTTTGTTCTTTCAGATGGGAAAAAGATCAGAATTCCAGGACATAGATTACTGAGCAATAGACTTGTTAGGTGCCTAACAAATGTTGAAGCATTTATATTGCGAGCTGCAGATCTTGAAGAAGTCACTAATCTTTTCGCAAGATTCTTGAGGAGTCCACGTGTTCAAGGTGCCATAAGGTAATTTAATTTTATAGCTACTGAATCTCCAATGGATTTTTTTTAAGACTTGAAGCATGATGATAAACAAAATAACGTGGCATTGATTTTCATGACTCTTACTTGTAATGTCAGATCTGTAGAGTAGCCATACAGAATATGAGAAGTTCAACTAGAAGGGCCTCTCTGGACATGATGACAGATTTACATGTTTATTATTTTAGAGTTGGGTGGTAACGGTGGCGGAACTAGGTAGTGTCAAGGGGGTTCCCTTCATCGGAAATTACACTGTGCGAATAGAGTAAAAATTATCTTTTTTTTGTTATTTGTGAGCTGTTGAATCCCCTTGACAAAAAAGAAAAGTTCAAATATAGTAGTACAGGGGGTTCAAAATTGCTTTAGGTCATAGGCTCAAGTTCCAATTGTGACATCCTAGAATTTATTTGAATCCCATTGTATAAATTTCTGGTTCCGCCACTAGGTGGTAGCTCCAAATCATTGGGCCTTTACTCAAGTAATATCACTAAGTAAAACCCATTCAGGTTTCTTTCTATACTTTCATTCCTAACCACCAGCAAAACTATAATCTATATCATTCTGCAGAATTAGAGAAAAACAATAGTTTAGCATATATACTTGTAGTGCACTCTTCAACTCGAGGAAGTTTATCATCTTATTTGTTCAAAAAAAAATTGTGGAATGTTATGTTGTCTTTAAACTATCTCTTTGGGCAATCCAGAATGTTATGCTTCTGCGCCTCTTCTTCCTCACAGCCGAATGCCCCTTTTCCCTCATTCCTTGTCTCTTTGTTTTTGCTCCCCATTTCCCTTTTTTTGACATATCATTGGCTTGAAGCTGTTATCTTCATGGACTTTAGTACTTCTTTTTCGCTCTCTTATCTTCTCATCTTTTGCTTCGACGGATGTTTTATGCAACCGGGGGATGTGTGTGTGTGGGGGGGATTGGGTAGTACAATGAACTTTTCTGGTATCATAGCTGAATAGGATGGAACCTTATGTGCTAATTAAAAAAAGGAAAAATACTTATGATATCTAGAGGTTTGCTTTCTTCTTGTTTCAATCTCTATTTTGTCACCATGGGAACTATTTAATAGCTGATAATCTTTAAGGTATGAATCGCCATATTGGCGAGGGCTAGCAGCAAGGCGGATACAAGTTGCCTGGAGATACAGGAAGAAACGACAAAGCAGATCGGACTCTTCCAGCCCCCAACACTAGTATCATTCTTACACTGTACTATTTCACAGTAATTCATTAGTTCTTCTGAAATACATTTAAATATTTATTTTAGTCTGTGTATCTATTTCTATTTTTTGTATATAGTACAGAATATAGTAGTGGTTGTCAATCAGAACTCGGACTGAAATTTTGTATTGAAATAATCCATAGATTAACCCCAGATGATCAGTTGATAATATTTAAAGATGATCTTGATGAAAAAAAATATTATTAACCTATTTTCGTTAATGGCTAATATATATGTGTCAAGATGGATAATATGATGTAATGATGTATGAAAAAATTAAATTGACCAACAGAAATGCATAACTTTCTTCTATGTTTTCTGGACCTAATTTTAGGAAATGGTTCAAGTAGACAAGTTTCAGCTGTTTGGTCATCAATTCAGTGCAGTTGGCTATAATACACTTCCCTTTTTTGGCACGACAGCTCAACTGTAGACCAATAAAGGTAATGCACGAGTAGTTAATTTCTGAACAAAGTACTACATAGACAAGTTTTATCTCTATTATTGTTTTAGTCTAAGTAGTTGACAATAAAAATGGTAATTAAAAGACAGGTGAGAACGTCCCCATATTTATGGACTGGTGGCGCTGAACTATCGGTACAAAGTTATTTTCGGCAGAATATATGGTGTAGGAGAGAGTTTTTCAGACTTAAAACATTAAACCATTTCATTTTAAGCAATTTGATGTACCACTGGTTTTCTTCATTTAATTTCTGACGTTTTCTTCTATCAATCCAAGCGTTTGTGATACGATGGTAAAAGCATGAGATATATACTTGTAGAAAATGAGGGTAATTAAAGGCAAAAAAGTAATTACCCGTAAACATAACATGTTTTATCTTAATTCCTCTATCCTATATTGCTACGGAGTATTTAGAATTGTAGAATTAAATCTCATGCATGCCTTGTGCTATCTTTTTCCATCCTTTTGATTTTTTATGCTCCTTATGTACTGAATATCCCAACAATTATATACCTGATAATTCGATCAATCTCCATTTTCTTGAGATTTTAGAATTGTTTAGTTTACTGAAAAAAAATGTCAATATTAAAGTAGAGAATGAAGTATGGTTAAAAATATGTCAAATAAAATAGTATTATCCTATCGCATAACCTTAACCAGTGGCGGATATAAGATTTTCACCAAGATGATTAAAAAAAAAGGTATACACATGTAAAGAAGCCAATATGATTCATCACCTAATATATATAAATATATATACATAAAAATAAAATTTAACTTTATATATACAATGTAATTTTCCGGCTACCTGACTCCTAGACCTATTCTCCCCCCGCCAACCCACCTCCCCCACCCAAAAAAAAAAAAAAAAAAAAAAAAAA